TGACTTGACGCCTATAGCAAATATATTTCATAATTTATAAATAAAAAAAAATGAATGAACTAATGAATAAAAAAAGTAACTAAGACATTATGGATTTTATATTTAGGGGCCTCAAGATTAAGAAAATTGTAAAAATAGCGAAAAATGATCATTGTTTCTAAATTTATTTCAGAATTGAAGTTCCAATATATTAAATATTCCAAATTAAAAAAAAAAAAAAAAAAAAAAAACTAAATACCAATATATAAAGTGTATATAAAAATATTTTGAGGTCCTAAACTTTTGTAAAAATCAATCGCTTACTTCGCCACCCTCAGAACCGGCCCAGCTGTGCGCCTTTCATATATAATACAAATTGACATTATATATATATATATATATATATGGCAATTGGCAAATGCTTTAATTGGAATATTTTTTTTCTCATTATTAATTTTTCATTGAATATAAACTAAAATTGTTTTGAATTTATAAAGTTTGGGCTATAATAACCCCAAAAATCAATCAGGCCCAATGACCACAATTTGGAGAACTTTGAAGAGAGAAAAAAACGAAGCAACGCTACAAATTATTGTTATCCTTATGCAAAAGTATTGTTTGAACTTAGTAAAAGTATAATATAATTTTATTTTATATATCAAATACTAGAAGCAACAAATTGAAAAGAAAAGACCCAATTTGTTATTCGTTTTAAGGCACAAAATAGCAAAAGACAATCCTTATTTGTTGTCGGCAAAACTCTTTCGAACACCATACTCAAGAAAATGAGTAAGAAAAAAATGAAGTCATTTTCTTGTTTCTTTTTTTTTTTTAATTAAAAGTCTCAATGGCAACAAATTTAAAAATAGTGGGATCATATATTTGCCGTTGACTTATACTTGCATCTTGTAGAAATCTGTACTTTAATTTCTATTAATATCCAACTTTACTTATCCAAAATATATATATATATATATATATATATATATATATATATATATATATATATATATATATATATATATATATATATATTTTACACACTCTGTTGACTAGTATTTCCCCCTAAATTGGCCTTATAATATAGCCGACAATGTTTTTTAAATTTATCTATTGTAACTTGTAAGTATGTAAAGAGCGATATATATCCTTCATTTTATTGACCTAATTAAATAACAATTTTTAGTTGAATAATGTGCCATAATTGCGTTCATATCAATTTCATATACAAAGAGTTGACTTTCCACAATTTATATTTAATGGCTTATAAACATTGTTCTACAATGTACTACGTACTACCGAAATTTCAACTTGTTAATGTTTTCGGTTTTTGTGTTGAAGTTTTAACATGTGTTTTGTGTCGGACACTCGACGATATCTGCCAGATAGATACCTTACGGATCATTTCGCAATTTCTTAAAAGCTAGAAACATATTTGACTAGCTAATTTTCATATATTTTTGTTGCTTCCGTAATTATTTAAACGATTTAATGATCAATTGAAAATTGATAGTTGATAGTAAGATTATTTTGGATATGTGTGTATCAAAATCATAGTAGTTAAACTCGCGAGATACCGCGATATTTATCGCGAGACAGTACGGTCCCAATCTAAACAATACAACTTAATTTGTATCGTCCGTGCACAAATATCGATAAATATCGCGAGATATCGTATCGTATCGCCATATCATGATACGATATTTACGATACTAGTCAAAATATTAAAAAAAAATTAAAAACAAAATAAAAAAGAAGGAAACGAAATATTCACATAATCATGCCCTGAAAAACGGATTTCAATATTATTTAATTTTTTATTTTTACATATATTAGGCCCAAGAAATGTAAACGCCAAGTTTGATATGATGAAAAAAGGAAATGTCAAAGTTGAAGTCGATGAAGTTGAAGAGATTGATAAACATGAGGATGAAGACACTCGTTTGAAATTGGTCGATGAAAAAGATTTAAGTGACATTGATTTTGCAAATTATGAGTGATAGGATTCAAATTTAAACTTTATTTATGTTATTTTATGAGCAATTATGACTTTTATCCTATTTTTGCAATATTGAAATTTGAATATATATATATATATATATATATATATATATATATATATATATATATATATATATATATATATATATATATATATATATATATATGAACGGTTTGAATTTAAAATATTAAATTTTACCTGTTTATAATATTTTTATTATGTAGATTTATATATTTTATTATTTTTAATAGTTGGTTAAATATCTTACAATACGATAAATTTGACAGATGAAAATGATAAGCTGATACTTTCCGCTTCGATAGCCATGATCAAAATATCTAAAAAGAATTTGTATATAAATAAAAACGTATATATATCTATATAGAATATTTATAAATATGCTCCTATAATTTTAATATTTACACGTATTTCCCCAAGTTCTAGTATCCTCATTTTTTGAATATGTCGTTTTCTCGTGTCGGTTTTCCCATTTTTCCGTATCACCGCTTCCGTTTCTGTGCTACATGGATGCCAATTCGTATTACATGTGATTTTTCCACAAGTCCTTATACTCAGTGACATTTAATTACATACTTTAGTTTTAATTTCACGCAAGATTATTTATGTCATTTTGAATTTGTTCAATCAAATATCTTACTAGCCACTATTTTATTTTTATCATTTAAATGCATCGAACCCCGAGAAACACATGTTTGTTCAAGTTTATTAGAATTAATTTCTACCGAACTTGAAAACTTGTGTTTGAGTTTGGATTGATATAAGAAATCAAATTGAGCTCGAACGAGCTTTAAGCGAAGCACCAATAGACGACCTCGACCAAGTAGCTTGTTTTTCTGTCTTCATAGTTAATCGAAGGAAAAAAAATGTGTTCAAGCTAGCTTGGTTCGTCACATGTACAAATTGAGTTCAAACGAGTTTTTAACGAACAATGTCGAATCAAATTTAAAATAGCTCGATTTAATTTCCATCTCTAGCAATCGTACAAGACCCCTTGAACAAAAATCCATCCCAACTATTGAAATTTGGGGTGTAAACGAGCCGAGCTCGAGCCTGAATAATCTTGTGTCTTTTTTTTCCTAATATTATTAGAATTTTATTATTATAAATTATAATAAAAAAACAAATCGAAAAATATGACTAGTAATTTATTTTTTATTTAAATTTATGAGTTTATTATTTATTTTATATTAATTATATTTAAAATATAAATAAAAAAAATTAAAAAAAAAAAACCTCGCGACTCGAAAAATTCGAGTTCGAGTTTTTGTCGAGCCGGCTCAACTCATTTACACCTCTAATTGAATCGGTAATCTGCCTAACCTCAAACCTTTTTGTTGTTTGGAAATAGAGGGAAAAATAAAAAAAGAAAAAAAAAAGAAAAAGAAAAAGAAAACCTATCTAAACAATTATTTGCAAAATGAATTAGTTATTTTTTAGTAATAAGCGCGTGATTCCATATTTTCTCATAGAAATATTCCGACTATGCTTCCAATTACCACCATTGTTGATGCGCACAGCGCACGTCTTTGAAATTGAAATTAAATATTATTCTCACCAAAAACCAAACAAAAAAAATCATTATTAATTAATGAAAATCCATTTTGATGTTCATATATTATTTTTCTCTTTCAGCTGTGCGCATTTGTAGTAATTAAAACATATAGATTTTCTAGCCACGTCATCAGCCAATAGCCAATTAATCACATGATCTCACTCCCTGTGTTCTTTCCAAGGCTTCTTGCTCTGATTTGGCTTCTGGGTTTTGCTTCTGGAGCTGCCCTTTTGCCTACTAATGAAGGTATATCTATGTGTGTGTGTGTATATATATATATGAGTATATATATATATAGTTTCATTAGAACATGGCAAAATTGTAATTTAATTTAGTTTCGACACTTATAGTACGGGTCTTCATACTTCACCATTAGCCATAATTTGTTGCTTGGTTTTCGGGTGCAGTGATAGCTTTGGAGGCGGTAGGGAGGACTTTGGGGAAGAAGGACTGGAATTTCACTGCGGATCCATGTAGCGGGTTATCGGGTTGGGTGACCCTGAATCCGGCCGTTAAGGAATTTGAGAATTCAGTTACTTGCGACTGCACCTTTGCCAGTTATACCATTTGTCATGTTATTCGAATGTGAGTTTACTTCTTAATTCTACTATTATTGTTATTAATTAAGATTTTTATCATGTTTACTATCCTTGTTTGAAAAAAAGTTCATATCATAAATAGTAGTTAAATGAGTTAGAAAAAAAAAGTTAGAAAAAAAAGTTACATATAAAAAAGTTCTTGTATTAAATGAGTTAAATTCTAGTTTTATATTGAATTTGTTCATAAAGTGATTTTTTTCTTTTTTAGCCACACCCCGCTATAAAATTAATCATAAGGGTGGGGTGCTATTAAAGTAATAAAATAGTAGCATGTATTAGCGAATTTTAGTATCTATAGCAATTTTGAATAAGTACGAAAATATGTTATCGGCCCCTACTGTTTAATCCATAGAATCTAATATTGGTAATCGAACGACTTCTAAGTATTAAGTTCAATCTTTTGGAAATAAAATAAATGGGTAAATTACGAAAAACCCCCAAACTTAAATTAAATTACAAAAACCACCTCCACCTATTCGTAATTATCAAAAAACCACTGAGATTTTTTTCCGTTTTACAACCAACTTCTTACAGTGTGACTTTTCACGGATTTTTTTATTTTATTTCAGGCAATAGACTTTACACAATTTCAAATATTTTCTTTTATTTCTCACCTATTTAACGGAAGATATAATAGACTGTACACATTTTCTTTTAAAAAACTCGATCAACAGTTAACCAGGGGGGTTTTGATTATTACGGATAGGTGAGGGTGTTTTTCGTTATTTAGCCTAAGTTCATGGGGGTTTTCGTAATTTACACTAAAATAAATAAACAAATATTTTACAGTTGGTCCTTGTTAATTAATTAGTTTATTTTTGGGTCCCGGACTGTAGAGCTTTGAAAGCTCAGAATCTGAACGGGTCAGTCCCACGAGAGATCGTCGGACTCCCTTACCTCCGAGAGATGTAAGTGTACACTTCATTCATTCTATAACACACACACACACACACACACACACACACACACACACGCACACACTCACACAAGAGAGAGAAAACAGTGATTCATTCACCTAATTTCAAATTGATTTTTTTTCGTAAATTCATCTTACTCAGTGATCTGACTCGGAACTACCTCAACGGCACAATTCCTGCAGAATGGGGATCCACGAGACTTGTAAACATGTACGTCATTTCGCTTTTATACTGTTATACGCACATATGTAAAGTTACGTGTGTGTGTGTGTGTGTGTGTGTGTTTTGGTGTCTATGGATTAACATGTAATTGATTGAAGCTACAGTCTGGATTGACTCTTTGTGTATTTCTATGTGTGCGTGTGTGTGTTCTGATGCGTATGGATTTTTAGGCAATTAATTGACGCGATAGCTGTGGATTGATTTTTTGGTGTGTGTGTGTGTGTGTGTGTGTGTGTGTGTGTGTGTAATTTTGTTGTCTACATTGTATACGTAATTAATTGAAGACATATTTCTGGAATGGAGCTTGAGTAGTGAAAGAGTAATGTTGTTATAATGCAGTTTTCTCATTGGGATTGATTCTTTGGTTTGTATGTGTGTGTGTTTTTGCTGTCTACACTGTATACGTAATTAATAGAAGAAATAGTTCTGCAATGGAGCTTTAGCAGCAGTGAAAGACTAATGTTGTTATGATGCAGTTCTCTCATCGGAAACCGTGTGACGGGTCCAATACCAAAAGCACTTGCCAACATCAGTACACTTGCACATCTGTAATATTTCTTACCGATTCATGTTTTATTTAGATTAATCTCGAATTGACGAGTTTTTTATTCGGAATTTGCTTATGTTTTATTTTGTCGAATATCTGAAGGACCTTGGAGTACAATCAGATATCTGGAGTAATCCCTCCAGAACTTGGGGATCTTCCTCGACTAGAGAGATTGTAAGGCTCTTTAATTCGAATAGTTTTAGTTTTCGATTTCTCGCCTTGTTTGAATACGTATTATGAAGTTGTTGATGTCTTAATTTTTTTTTTTGTTTTTGTTTTACTGTTTACGTACCTCATTCTGAGCTTAGTTTGATATGAGCTGATTTAACTTTTTGTTTTCCCTGTAATGTCATCATCTGAAGCTTAGTTACCTCAAACAACTTAATCGGGGAGATACCAGCAAATCTAGCCAAACTGAGCACATTGAGAGACTTGTAAGTTTCTTGTTGATACAGGTTCACTAAATTTCTTTTTTGGGACCATAGCTAATCGCGCCGTTTTAATGCAGTCGCATTAGTGATAACAACTTCAGTGGAAGCATACCAAATTTTATCCAGAACTGGACAAATATCGAAAAATTGTAAGGGTTTATCGACATTTGATGTTATAGTAAATCCTCAATATTTTGTTTACTGTTTAGTGTTTGATAACGGGCTTCTCATTTAAACTGAAATCGATATTTGGTAATGTCAGGGTGATTCAGGCGAGTGGTCTGACTGGGCCAATCCCTTCTGGTATTGCTTCCTTAACCAAATTGACCGACTTGTGAGTATAGATTGTGATTTGTCATGTATAAGCTCGTTGAAATGACTATGCATATTTTTCTTTGAAAACGAGAAGAAAGAATCTGATTCTTTACACCTACTCTTAAATGTGCAGGAGAATTAGTGACTTGAGCGGAAACGTATCAACTTTTCCAAATCTTAGTAACAACAAAAACCTGAAGACACTGTCAGTGTGATGTTTGCATATTGATCCATCAAAAAATTAATCATCACTTTGCTTTCGTGTGACTCGATGAATCTTGTTATGCAGGATATTGAGGAGCTGCAACATCATTGGGGAGTTGCCAAGTTATCTTGGAGGAATGACATCATTGAAAGTCTTGTTAGTGAAACGTTTCTCTCTGTCTAATCTTTATGTACTATTACTATGGAAAGTGAAAAAGTAAAAAATAAACAACATTCCAAAACTTTCATTGGTTACAGTATTGTTAAGGTGTTCTTGATATCTGCAAAACTGCATAATACTGTTGTATGTCAGCATTCACAAATAACTAGTGGATATGTTATAAAATGTCATCTTGTTTATTATTTTTCTTTTCTTGTGCAGAGACCTGAGTTTCAACAAATTAAGTAGACCAATTCCTGACAGCTTTATTGGTCTATCAAATACGGATAACATGTAAGAAGTTCTTTTACAAGCTTTAGTAGTAGTCCGGACTTTTACTCAAATCTAAGTGTCATGTCTATTCCAATATTTTTTTTCTGCGGTTTGGAGAGTGATAGGGTCTCACACTCAGTACTAATAATTTTTCGCAATTTTTTTATCACTTGATATTAACTCTTGAGTTTTGGAGTTTTAAACGTTAAATCTAATTATTGTTAGTTATAATATTTAGACACTTCAGATAATGTATACTTATTATCTTATTACTTCAACTGTTCATCTTAGAGATGTCTGGGCAAGATTTCTTGCCTTCAAGTTTGGGCACGTCTCCAATATAAAATTAGTTGTAAGATTTTTGTACAGCATGATAAACTAAAACTGTATGATTAGTGTCCTGTTATCTATTTGAAGAAATTCATTGCCAGTTTAACTGTGGCTACTTGTTACATATAAGGAAACTGTTGAGATTGCTAACTGAACATGTCATCTTCTAGCTATCTTACTGGGAATTCCCTAACTGGGCTGCTGCCAGCTTGGATGCTGAAAGATGGCGATAAAATGTGAGGTTTCCTCCCCATGTGTGTCTGTCTCTCTCTTTCTTTTCCATCTCACGACGAACTGATCTTTCTCAATTTAACGTACACATATATTCAATTTGTATGCAGTGACCTATCTTACAACAACTTCACATCTGAAAATTTGGCCTCAAATTGTCAGCCACGCAACTTGTAAGATCATTAACACTTATCTTTAAGTGGATTTATTGTTTTTGAATTTCCTCATCTGAGTAAATTTTACCAATTATTTTCAGGAACTTGTTTGCAAGCTCCAAAGGAAATACGTCGTAAGTTTCTAGTTTAAATTAAAAAAAAAATCTGTTTTAAATCTCATTTTGCACTGTTATATGAAGCTTACTTATGGAAATATATATTCTCTTATCAGCGGCATCGTTTCCTGTTTAAGAACCTCCCATTGTCAGCGACGTAAGTGAAACATACATTCTGAAACTATTGATTGATTTTTGGTTCGGCACTTGAATAGATCCTGAATTTATGAAATTCCAAATGAGTACCTTAAAGAGAGGCTAAGCGACTGTCCCCTTGTTTCCGTAATTTCATTATAAATCCTTCCATTTTCTTTTCAGTATGTCCATCTATAATACTTTTATTTGAAAGTCTTTAAAAGGCACTTCCAACAAATTTAGACAGCTTATGTATATCTTGTCCAGCTGAAGTATCAATTCGGTTTAAAATGAATTGTGACTATTATCATAGTATTAGACCTATTAGACCTCTATCTTGCCTAACTCATTGCCGAAAATCGAAGCGAGTTTCTACTTTTCATGTTACACTATGCATGTTTCTATTTTATACTGTGATGCCGGCAAATAATTCAATTGCCTGATTAAACTATAGCTTTCTTTTTTCTCACGCTTCACCTTACCAGACTGTGTTCCTGGGTAATAGAGGGACTTTCTTTTGCTCAGATTTGGCATTCTAGTCAGCGTTTGTTTTATCATTTCCTAGTTATGTTTCATTGTTAAGTGCGGGTCAATGCGCAATGGAAGTGCATGTAATAGCCAAGTCAATGCATGTAGTAATTTGACATTCGGTGCATCGGAGTTTTGAGACTGCTACAGTTATTAGTTTGCATGTATCAAAATTAGTCACTCTGATTGGGTCTTACATTTTTCCCTCATTTTTATCTTTTCGTTTGGATGTAATTATTGAGAATTCGTTCCATGCTTTTGTCTCAGAGTATTACTCTCTCCGTATTAACTGTGGTGGAAGACAAGTAGCTGATGATAAAGGATCTACCTACGAAGATGATGGAAATTCTGGTGGACCTTCAAATTTCTTCGCAAGTAAGACAAACTGGGGATTTAGCAGCACGGGCCACTTCTTGGATGATGACCGCCCAACGGACTCGTTCATCTGGGCAAACAGCTCAAGCATCTCAGGGCCGAATTCCCAGTTGTACATGGATGCACGCCTTTCCCCCCTCTCATTAACTTATTATGGATTTTGTTTGATAAACGGGAACTACACAGTAAACCTTCACTTTGCGGAGATCATGTTTACTGATGATAAAACATATAGTAGCCTTGGGCGGCGTCTGTTTGATGTGTTCATTCAGGTACCCGTATAAGTTTTTTTCTAACGAGTATGTTTGAAAGGGTTCTCTTTTAAATGGCGAGAACTTATGTTGAATGAATCAGTTGAGTTTTGTTGTCATATGATGTTAGTGATTATTTGTTTTGTATTTGTATTTGTAGTTTTTCATTTTAAGAAGTCCCTCATGGTTTCTGGAAAAACTAAATTTCAGGGAAAGCTGGTGCTGAAGGATTTCAACATTGAAAAAGAAGCAGGTGGAGTTAACAAGGGAATTAGAAGAAACTTCACTACAGTTGTTGCTGATAATACTTTGGATATCCGCTTCTATTGGGCTGGGAAAGGAACAAATGGTATTCCTGTTAGAGGCATATATGGTCCTCTCATTTCAGCCATATCTGTTGATCCTGGTAAGTCGGAAGTTGGGATTTAGTAACTTGAACACACAAGAGATAGTTGTCCGACACATCTCTATTATAACCGAGAAAGGAGATTATGCATTATTTTGACAGTATATTTGATTTATCTCTCTCTCAGATTTTACGCCACCATCAGAAAAGGGAAGCAGCATATCTGCAGGTGCTATAGTTGGTATAGTAGCAGCAGTTCTTGTTACTGCCTTGCTAATAGTCATGCTAGTTCTGGGTATTCTTTGGTGGAAGGGCTGTTTTAGACGCAAAGACACATTGGAATATGGTACTAAAATTACTGGCACAGTCATATAGTCCTTAAATTTTAACTGTATATGTATCTTATTTTTCGTGTATGCAAATCCGTGCAATAAATGCCATCTAAAATGAACTATGTGATTAGAAAGTGTTTGCAGTTATCTAAATTGCTATTTTACTTGTTTTTCTCAGAACTAAAGGGTGTAGACCTTCACACTGGATCATTTACGCTAAAGCAAATTAAAACCGCCACAAACAATTTTGATCCTGCTAATAAGATTGGAGAAGGTGGTTTCGGTCCTGTATTCAAGGTAGCAGTGTAAACAATAAATACTTCTAGTAAATGAATTATCTTAATGTTGTAATTCAGCTCATTCCGTTTTTCTGCCACCTCTGATTTGAAGGGTGTCCTGTCAGATGGCACCATCATAGCTGTAAAGCAGCTTTCCGCCAAATCAAAGCAAGGGAACCGTGAGTTTGTCAATGAAATTGGCATGATTTCTGCTCTGCAACACCCTCATCTTGTTAAGCTGCATGGCTGTTGCATTGAAGGCAACCAGTTGTTGCTTGTCTACGAGTACTTGGAAAATAATAGCCTTGCCCGTGCATTATTTGGTAAATTTCCCACAATCCTATCTTTGTTGCTTTTACTTCCAGTGGTTGGAAAACGAGATACACGAACTTATGTGCACCGATCCATGTTATTATTTTTTTTCTTCTATTTAAAGTTTAAACTTATGTATGAAGATAAATGTTTGCAGGTAAAGAAGAACACCAAATTCATTTGGATTGGCCAACGAGGCACAAGATCTGCATTGGTATAGCCAGAGGCTTGGCTTATCTGCATGAAGAATCAAGACTTAAAATTGTGCATCGTGATATCAAGGCTACAAATGTGCTTCTTGATAAAGATCTTATGGCTAAAATATCTGATTTTGGACTTGCCAAGCTCGATGAAGAGGATAACACCCATATAAGCACCCGTGTTGCTGGTACTTAGTGAGTAATCAATCATTCATTTATTTGACCAGAGATTGAGCCATTGATTTCATAGAATATCTACTGACTTGATATTTGATTTCCCAGTGGATATATGGCGCCAGAATATGCTATGCGAGGCCATTTGACAGACAAAGCAGATGTATACAGCTTTGGGGTTGTTCTTTTGGAACTTATCAGTGGAAGGAGCAACTCTAGCAGTAGGGATCCAAGCTTCGATCTTCTTGAATGGGTATATTTAGTTAACACAGTTTCACGTATTGACATTCGTCTTCTGCTATTGTTCTTTCTACGAGTCACTATGATAAGCTTAAAGCATGCTATGTTCACACAAGAACTTCGAAGATGAAACTCCTTTTTCCTTTTTTTTTTTTTCTAGGCAAACTCGTTGAATGAGACTGGAAAATTGATGGATCTAGTGGACCCAAGATTGGAATCGAAGTTCAAGAAAAAAGAGGTTATGTCGGCTATAAATGTGGCGCTCCATTGCACAAATATTGTAGCCACAGAAAGGCCAAGTATGTCGGCAGCTGTAAGCATTCTAGAAGGAAAAGCCGGGGTTGGAGAATTCATTTCAGACACGAGTACCTCGAATGACAGGACAAATCCTACCGAGGAAACGGCAAAAACAGACCTTAATGACTATAATGGTCAAGGGCAGAGCACATCAATTGATATACGATGGACTGGTTCCTCAGCATCTACTGCCGGTGACCTATATCCAGTCGATGTGGATACTGAATATTGGGAGAAGAGAGATTCATAAACACTCTCTGAAAATTCTTTATTTCTTCGATTTTATGTACATTTGTGGTTTTGATTTGAATGCGGAAGTGGACAAGAGAAGTAAATAGCTGTTGCCAAATGTGTTTTAGAAAAAAAAAACATATACATTTATTTATTTATTTATTATTACAATGCCTTAAAAAGTTTAAAGTTGTTTTCAGTGACATTTTTCGAATGGATGATCTGTTTGCTCGTTGCGTTTTGTTTTCCCTTCGAGTTTGCGCTTTTGGCCGAGAGTTCAACTGTGCATGTTTCGATCCTCAAAAAAGACTAAACTAAATTATTAAAAAAAAAAAAACATTGCATAAATTAGATCTATTAATACGTGACCCCCAGCCCGAATTGCATATACTTAATAACATAGTGGTTTATTTTTCTTCTCATGTACGTGTATGTTTGTACATATGCGTCGTCGTGCAATGTTGGTCCCAAGGATTCTCGGATTGATTTGTCTTGTGGGTTTTGCTTCTGGAGCAGCCGTTTTGCCTCCCGATGAAGGTATTATACGTAATATATACATACCTATGGGTGGTGTGTGCATGTATGTGTTTTTGTATATATATATATATATATATAATGGTGTTTGGGTGGTGCGCCAGTGGTATCTTTGCTGGTGGTGGCGAAGAGTTTGGGGAAGACGGATTGGGATTTCATTGTGGATCCATGTAGCGGGTTATCGGGTTGAGCGACCCAGAATCCGGTTAAGGGTTTTGAGAATATTAATACTAATACTAATACTAATACTAATACCGATACTAATACTAATATTAATACTAATATTGATACTAATAATAATACTGATACTAATACTAATACTAATATTAATACTAATATAGATACTAATAGTAATACTGATACTAATACTAATATTAATATGTATACTTATACTGATATTAATACTAATATTGGTACTAATACTAATACTGATACTAATACTAATACTAATATCGATACTAATACTAATATTAATACTAATATTGATATTAGCAATAATACTGATACTAATACTAATACTCATACTCATACCAATATTAATACTAATTTATATATAATATAAAAAGAGGATCTATGCCCTATATGAATGACATGTGGCAAATGATGATGTCATTTATCGAAATTGCTTTGTTGGAGTTCAATTGATGAGGTGGATTCTTCGATTGATGAGTTGTCAATTTTATTTTGGGATAATTAGTGAAACCCCCCTCACTCATTTAGTATAATAAAGGTAGATCTACTGTCTTTTATATTAGTAGAAACCCCCTTAATTATTTAATTAAATAGATATTTATGAAATTATTATCTAATATACCTAATTTGCCCTTAAATCCCTTATTACTTTAGATCTGTGATCCCTAAATTCTGAAATTACATTTCACGTCTTCCTCTTCTTCCTTCCTCTTCTCTCCACAGGCTGCCGTCATTTCCCCTCTTCCCCAGTCCCGCCGCCGCCATCTCCTCCCTTCGACTTCCGCCGGCCGCCGCTCTCCATTATTGTCCCCGCTTGCAGCCGCAAAGTCGTTGAGAGGCTAGGGTTTCGGAAAGAATTTAATTTTAATTCGGTAAGAAAACTTTGTTCTTCCATGGTAGAAATTAGGGGCTCAAAATATTCCAATTTTCATTTTCTGTAATTTCGTTGTTGAATGAATCATTCAGGAAATAAAAAGTTTGGTTTTTTATCTCCCACATACGGCGAAAGAGAGTCCCATAGTGCTGTTGTTTCCCGTGGCGGTCGGATCTGGGTTCTTGGCCTCTAAGAGCAACTCCAATGGAGAGACATCAAAATGGAGCATTAAACATTCATTTGATACTTGATATAATACTTTGATACTTTTAGAAAAAAAATTCACTCCAACCACAAGTATCAAATAGATTATCAAATTTTAAATATATGAATAATTATATTATTAAATGCCACGTGGCAAATTGTGATAGGTTAATAGAGTGGTTACATTTTTGATACCTCATTTTCCAGGGAGTATTTTTGCACCTCGGGGTGGTTGAATATCAAAATAGTTCTCCCTTTAATGCCTCCATTGGAGGAGGATTTTTTAATTTTGGAGCATCAAAGTGGTAGTTTTTTAGTTTGATACCCCATTTAGTTCCTCCATTGGAGTTGCTCTAAAGAATAAATTGAGAAAGTTATATTATATTCTTGACACTTTAATTATTATTATGGGTTAAAATGACAAGTTTGATTGATTTTTTTTAGATTTATTATATTTTAGAGTGATTAGTTATAAGAGATTTGAATTGTTGTAATTAGATAGAATGAAATAATGTTACAGTTAATTTTCGACAATTTTTAGATGATTTCAATTTTTTATCGTTGATTTTTGTAGTTGATATTCTTTTAGTAAACAGCTATTAAGCTATTAAAAACAGCTATTTTGTGGTTGTTGATTCGGGAAATAAACGAACAAAACAACTAAACAAGTAGTCGTTTTCGGTAATTTGTAGTTGATTATGGAAATAGATGATTTTGGAAATAGTGGATTTTGACAATTTTTTAGTTGATTCTCGATTTTTTATTTTTTATTTTTTATTTTTGTCATTTTGTAGTTGATTTATGTTTTAGTGAATCTACTATTAAAAATAACTATTTTGTGGTTGCTGATACGGAAAATAGATGAACAAAAAAAAGTAGTTGCTTTAAGTAATTTAAAGTTGATTATGGAAATAGTTGATTTTGAAAATTTCGGAAATTTTATATTCGATTTGAAAACCTAAAATTGAAAAAAATAATTAAAAATGAAAAAACAAATTAAAAAAAATATTTAAATAAATAAATAAATAAACAAATATTATAATTAAAAAGAAAAAAAATGAAATAGGCATTAGTGGAGGATAGTAAAGAAGGGTAAATTTGGGAATACAAAAAAGTTGGACCTATCACTAATAAAGAAAAATGGACTGGATCCACCTTTATTAAAAAAATGTTAGAGGGGGTTCTCACTAATAGTCCCTTTTATTTTTGTATGTATTTAAGTTCTTTCCTGTTTAACATTTGTACACTCATTTAAATAATTACCACATGTATATATATTGTTTCCAAATTTTACATTTTATAAATTCGAAATAAAAATATCTTATTTATATTTTTAGTATTTCAAAATATATTTATTGTAAAAATTAAGGATACTTAATTTTTTTACGAATATTCAAATAATTTCCAGGAAAAAAACATTTTTTAGTATTCAAATATTAAAATAAAGGAACACATTTTTTTTTAATTTTAATAATTTGGAATATTCGAATATCCATTCAATTAAACATAATTATAAAAAAAATATATTTTTTACTTGTACTATTTAATAAATATACAATATTTTTTGTATATAATTTTTATTATACCGTATTTCAAATTATTCTATTATACCGTATTTCAAATTAAAAATAATTTTACTATTTAATAAATATACAATATTTTGAAATTTTAAATTTTACAATTTTTAATATACTGTATTTCAAATTGTAAATACGGTATATTATAAGGGGCTTTAAGATATAGGTCCCTGGTGGGAAAACATATTAGAACTAAATGACAAGTTTAACTAAACATTAGCTTCACATCCTTTATAAATTTCATTCCAATAATGCCCCCACATACAAAAAAAATCAAATATGCACCAAGTAATGATTTAAACTGGATTAACATTTTTTCATTCTACATTAACCAACTTGGAGTCGTCTAGAGTCAGCCGCAAGCATGAGGCGTTCACTTCTCTGAAATGAGTAGTGTTTTATAGAACA